GTCCCAGCGTCTGACTGAAGCTCCTTGAGTTAGAACCCTGATGATTGGGTGCCGCTAAAGAGTCCTAAGGGAGGACGAAACAGTTACTCAGTACTCCAAGGTCTTCGAGTCATTCTCTAACTGATTACACTGTGCCTTGAAACGCAATAAAAAATATTGTATAAACCTATGCACAACACCAGTTTTGACGTCTTCTGCATTCAATCCGCCTTTATTGGGGGGGGGGGGGACAAGATTCGGATTTTTAACATAAATGTCCAGGAAGTCAGTCAGTCAGTCATTTCTTCCATACTGGTGGGAAATTCGCACTACGCGCACGTCATGAATAGCATTTCCAACAGGTTGCTTCAGACCTTTTTCAACACCTGCCCACTTCACTGTCTATCTCCATACTGAAGATCAAATAACCAGATAGCTAACCAGCCAGCCAGAAACGATTAGCAACCAGAAACTCTCTCTGGAAACAAACCAGCAAGCGAGAGCCGATTATTGCTCAACAAATATGTAGGAGAAAATAGAGGTGGATTGATCGGGCACACGTTGAAGAGGCCGTCGAATGACCTTCCACGCAATGCAGGTCTTCGCTGCAGTGAAATACAAATACCAAGCGACAAATGGGTTGTCGGTGCGAGATGGACATAGAGGAGATGGTGGTGTGAGTTGGAGGAAGAGGTAAGGGACTGCGGTCAATCCTGGGGCTAGCCAGGTGTAGAGAAGACAGTAGGGAATAGAAGGAAGCATTGGTTTGTAGGGATTTGGCTGCTTGGTTACATGACTTTATCATGAGCTGGGTTTTTCATGGGAAGTTGTGACCAGTAGGGTGCAGCAGGTTGGATATATGAGAACAAATACTTGCCGAAGACATTGGCTAGCTGTTGCGCTATATCGTGAATTGGCAGGAGTTCGAATTCATGACTGGCCATTGGATTGGATCCCAGTGGCTTAATGGCCTACGACCTAGTTCGCCTTGTCACCAGAAGGTCCTGGGTGTGGGTGCGTGGTGTGAAGAGTCCCAAACTAGGACGAAACAGCTGTCCAGTACTCCCAGGTTTTCCAGTGGTTCTCTAACTAATGTCAGCTCATGATGAAATCCTGTAACCAATAGAATAAAGTGTATATGTGTTGTTGAAGACCTATGTTCCTCCCAGAATCCAAGGAGATATTATGAATGTGATTATGCCATCGATGGGTACTTGCTTTATATCCGACTCAGTGTATCCCACCACTCATGACTCCCTATACCGTAATCAGTCTGCAATAAACAGTGGGGTGATGTATTGCTCCAGCTGACACAAGTTCTAATTCATGGATTACTCGATTCTCATAAGCTGGCTGAATGGCCAAAACCTAAAAGTTCTTGTGGGTGGAAACCGATGAAGAGTCTCACACTAGGACGAAACAGACATCCGGTATTCCTTGGTTTTCAACGACTCTCTGTAACTAATAATATTGATTCATGATAAAATTTACCTAGCATCTACATTTCAATCGATTTGTGAATCGTAATCATGTCAGTTTTCATCTACCCATTCCAATCCACCTGTGTAAATATAATTTTAGAATTTTATGAAGACAAAGTTAACACAAAAAGAACTTCTTTCATGGAAATCTTTAGTTGATGTCTTAAATCATTGGCGTGTCATGCTAATTGATGCGTCAGCTCTTAGTACGGACTTCGTGATCATAACCATGATGTTGTTTTAGTTGATGGTGCAGATTTCATCCAATCTCTAGCCAGTCTGCAAGATAAATCTGCCTCCATACGATCCAACTGAAAAGTCAATATTTCTTTGCTCAAAGGGCTTTTGTCTTCTAAATGTCTAAATGGTGATTATTTTCTCTCCTTGAACAAAACTTGACTACTCGAATATAAAATAAAGCAGAAATCCTATTCAAGTGTTGGTTTGCAGCAAGGATTTGATTGGTTACAGGATTCCATTGGTGAAGTGACATCCATCTGAGACTGCTGGATATATCGTGAACTGGAAGAAGTTGGAATTCATGGGTTGGTCATTGGATCAAGTCCTAGTGGTTGAATGGTCTACGAGCTCTCCTTGTGATTAGAAGGTCGTGGGTTCGAACCCTGCTGGTGGGTGGGTGCGTGCTGGTGAAGAGTCCTAAACTAGCCTGACAAAACAGCTATCCAGTACTTGCTGGTGATTTTCTAATGGTCCTCTAACCAACGTCAGTTCATGATGAAATTCTGGAAGATCCTATTTGTTATAAAATCACTATTTGAAGTAAAGTCATTATTATTAATATTATTGTTACCGTCAGCTAGATTTCCGACTGTCTACCAAATATTATTATTATTTCCTTTACTTCCTAGAGGAACATATGGATTCAGCGGCACGTCTCCGTTGCTTTCGATTCTTCGCCAACATTTTCACCTGGCTCCACACCTGCCCACATGCTTTGATTTCCTACTCGCATGACCTCCTCCGTGTTGTCACTCTCTCACTGACGACCAACTCTCCGCTTCCCCTTCAGTCGGGTTCAACTCAAGCAATCGCCTAGTGTGTGATGTCACTCACTTGATGGCTTGTTCTCTCAGAGGATGGTTACAATCTAATACACCTCCATTTCTTCCTGCATATCTGCTGCACAGTCGGTTCTTGATTGGTTCGTTCATTGCCAGAGATCCCTTTTGCTGATCTTTTCTGGCCATTATCTGATCTTCAGTAGTATTAAGAGAAGACAGCTCTTGATGAGGATCTGTAGTTTGTTTGAAGTGCCTTTCGTGACGCGACGCGGTTCCAAGTCTCTAATCCGTTTAGTAAGTAGCAGTGACTGAATTCACTTTGGAGTTGAAAATCCAGATCTTATTTTTCATGCAGAGTGCTGCTGACCTCCATACAGACTTAAGAGTAGTGAAAGCTTGTCTTGCTTTTCCGATTCTGGCTTTGATATGCTCGTCATTTCCGCCTGTAGTTGAAACGATGCTTCCTAGGTAGGTGAAGGAGGTTGTTTCTTCTAGGTTATTCCCATTTATGCTGATTGTTGTCTGTTGTTGTTGTTGCTGTTTGCGTCAGCTAGGAATCTTCATCACCTGTGTTTTCTCTATGTTCACCTGAAGGAAGTCCTATCTTTGATGCTTCTTCTGCCAACTTGTTACTTTTCACTTGCATATCTTCCAGTTTATAGGAAATCAGACATATATCATCGGCGAAGTCCAAATCCTTCAAGTATTTTGTGTGGGTCCATTTTATGCCTGTTTCCTCGTTGCCCGTTGTCTGTTGCATTATCCAATCTACTGTAGTCAGGAAAATCATAGGCGATAGTAGGTAGCCGGAACAGGCCGGATTCAGGAGAAACAAATCATGTATTGATCAAATCGCCACTCTACGGATCATCATTGAACAAAGCTTGGAATGGGAGTCACCTCTCTATCTCAACTTCATCGACTTCGAGGCCTTCGAAAGCGTCGATCGAGAGGTCATTTGGCAACTACTTCGCTACTACGGGGTCCCATCGACAATTATACATCTCATTCAGCAGTCATACGACAATGCTGCATGCCAAGTAATCCACAACGGGAAACTTACGGAAGCCTTCGAAGTGAGGACGGGAGTGAGGCAAGGCTGTCTACTATCACCAATAATCTTCCTGATTGCAGTAGACTGGATAATGCGACAGACAACGGCAACCAACGAGAGAACGGGCATAAAATGGACTGACACAAAAGACTTGGAGGATCTGGACTTCACCGATGATATATGTCTGATTTCCTATAAACTGGAAGATATGCAAGTGAAAAGTAACAAGTTGGCAGAAGAAGCATCAAAGATAGGACTTCCTTCAGGTGAACATAGAGAAAACACAGGTGATGAAGATTCCTAGCTGACGCAAACAGCAACAACAACAACAGACAACAATCAGCATAAATGGGAATAACCTAGAAGAAACAACCTCCTTCACCTACCTGGGAAGCATCGTTTCAACTACAGGCGGAAATGACGAGCATATCAAAGCCAGAATCGGAAAAGCAAGACAAGCTTTCATTACTCTCAAATCTGTGTGGAGGTCAACAGCCCCACTCAGGATCAAAAATAAGATCCGGATTTTCAACTCCAATGTGAAATCAGTGCTACTATACGGATCAGAGACTTGGCGAGTCATAAAGAGCATCCCAAACAAACTTCAGACCTTCATTAACAGCTGTCTTCGCTTAATACTACTCAAGATCAGATGGCCGTCCAGAAAATGTCAGCAACAGGGATCTCTGGGAGCGAACCAATCAGGAACCGATTGTGAAACAAATAAGCAGGAAGAAATGGAGGTGGATTGGCCATACGCTAAGGAAACCATCAAGTGCCATCACTAGACAAGCCATTGCTCGAGTGGAACCCGAAAGGGAGGCGGCGAGTTGGTCGTCAGTGCAAGGGTGACTTGGAGGAGGTCATGCGAGGAGGAGATGAAAGCATGTGGACAGACCTGGAGCAGGGTGAAAAAGTTGTCAGAAAACAGAAGGCAATGGAGGTGCTCAGCTGAAGCCCTATGTTCCTCTAGGAACTAAAGGATACAATAATAATAAGTAGGTAGTCAGCTTGTCTTACTCCCGTCTTCACTTCCAAGGATTCCGTAAGTTTCCCATTGTGGATTACTTGGCATGCAGCATTGTCGAGCAACTATTGAATGAGACATATAATTGTCAGCGGCACCTTGTAGTAGCGAAGTAGTTTCCCAATTCACCTTTCGATCGCCGCTGTGCTTTCGAAAGCCTTTTCAAAGTCAATGAAGTTGAGTGAGGTGGAGAGGTGACTGCCATTCCGAGCTTTGTTCAATGATGATCCATAGTGTGGCCATTTGATCGATGCATGACTTGTTTCTCCTGAATCCAGCCTGTTCCGGTCGAAGTTTTTCATCCATGTTGGCGTGTTTGATTCTCTCCAGGAGATGACGCGGCTTAGTATTCTGCTTGGGATGGACAGGATAACTGTATGTTTAAAGTGTCGTTTACTTCTCCGCCTCAATGAAGTCTCTCTTTTTTTCATTTTCAGACGCTTCAGATAAATCCCTACTTAAACAAACAATCAATTCGCTTTATAGTCAACACTTCCAGCTAACCGACGACGATGACAATCCCGATGAAATCAATAATAATAATAATAATAGTAATAGTGATAATCACAATATGATCAATAAGAAATTGCTGAAAAAATCACGTAAAGCTCGTACAGCTTTTACAGATTATCAACTGACTGAATTAGAGCAAAGTTTTGATCGTCAAAAGTATTTAGGTGTACAAGATCGTATGGAGTTGGCAGCCAGATTGAGTTTATCTGACAGACAAGTAAAAACATGGTATCAGAATAGAAGGTAAGTGGTAGTATTAGTAGTAGCGGTCTTTTTCAGTCACTCTTTTACTCATCTTTCTTCCTAAAGTTCATTTGCATTGCTTTTCCAGTGGAATATAGAGCTTCAGTCTTGAGTTTTTAGAGTTTCAGTAGTAGGGTGGGATTTTTTGATTGTTGAGTATTTAACCATTGAACCACTGAAGTTCGGAACCAGTTGCAACCGCTGGGGGTCAAGCTATGGAATGCACCTATGATATCCACTTCACCATATTCGCAGCATTTTTTGATACTAATAATAGCAGAGTTTAAATCCAAGGGTCACTGAACACCAATCCAAGTGGCTGAATACTCAATGAACCTGGTCTCATAACTTCATGGTTCCGGATTTGACCCCCTGATGGAGTCGAGAGGATGTACTACTACTGATGACTTCTAAACTAGAACCAAACAGCTGTTCAGTTTATCCTGCTGGCTTTCAATAATCTCTCTAGTAGATTTTAGTTCCTCAAGAAATCCTCATTGAAAATGATAATGGGGACTTTATTTGAAAGAGTACACTACAATATAACATCTAATTTACTCCTTGTATTTCCCGCCTAACATACTTTTTCATCAAAGAATATGCCTACCAGATAAGGTGTAGGATGTGAGGACAAATACCTGACCTGGATGACATTGGCTATCAGTCACGATATGTTGTGAATTGGCAGAAGTTGGAATTCATGAACTGTCCATTGGATTGGTGGGTCCCAGTGGCTCAGTGGTCTGCGAGCTAACTTGCCATGTAACTAGAAGATCTTGGGTTCGAACCCTGTTGGTGAGCGGGTACTGATGAAGAGTCTCAAACTAGGCTGACGAAACAGCTGTCCGATACTCCCAGCTGGTTATCCAATGGTTCTCTAAATGATGTCAGCTCATGATGAAATCCTGTAATCAATTAATCAATATACCTGCAAAATAATACTTGAAAAGTTATTGTTCAGTTTGTAGATTTCGTTGTTAGAGCATTGGAGTTTTCTATGTAATTTTTTCTAGTCTTGTCTGAGAAGATTTGTGAGTAAAGAGGATGCTCAGAGTCCGATAAGCCGATTGATATTCGCCAATTTTTTCTTGTTGATAATCTCAAGTGTCGGTCTACAAACTCCACTCATACCACGACTTTTAGTGCCCTTCACAATGTAGCCGAGTTTTTCTTTGGTAGCTCAGGAAAGATTAAGCGCCAAGTCATAAAGAGGATTAGATAGTATGCGAAAACTAACAAACTGTAAAAGTAGAGACTGTGGGTCGGTGGGACAACAGTAGAATGCTCGCCAACCATGTCTCATGTTGCCCGGGAATTCGATTCCCGTCCAACGGATGCACTCCTGTACCAGTAATAAGACTGGTAAGGAGGGAAGGTTGGGCATATGGTGGCTAGCCATCCCATCTTGTAAAAATAAACACCACTGCTACAGAAACTTCAAGCCTCTAGCTTGAAGCCCTCAGTATGTTCCACTGGGAACGTGCAGGAATAAAAATAATAAAAAGAATAAATACAGTTCATCAGTGAATTCCGTTTACATCGTAAGAGTAACTCAATATATCATATGACATATCAAAGTATTCTAAACACCAACGGATGCTTATTTCTCTCGTTCGGGACGGGGTTAATCAGTAGTGTACCCGGTATGACTCAGCTCAGAGACGCGAATTTCGGCTAGCTCCCTCCTCGGGTGAACTGGCAACGTAGAATCGAATCCTCCACTACACTTTCACTAGTAAGCACAACTACATAATATGGGTTGTTCCCAACCATCTACTCATTTCAACCAGTAGCATATGCCAAGATAACTTACAGTTCTCTAGCTGATGTCAGCTTAAGACTGATCCCGTAGTCAGTCAAATCCCTACAAACCAACACCTGATGATTAATCTGATTCTCACCAGCGACTGGCCCCATACAGGAAGTTAGTTACCTGGAGTTCTAGTGATAAGTGCTAATCAGTGGAGCCCAACAAGTCAGGCAAGGGGATATTTTTGTTTTATTATGAGTTGGTCACGGATTGATATCAGTTAGAGAACCAGTGAAAACCAGCCACAGGGAGTACTGGACAGCTGCTGTTTCATCCTAGTTTAAGAATCATCGGTAGTACGCACCCACTGGGATCCGTAATCAACTCGAAAAAAAAATAACTAACCCTTACAAACCAAACTATAGAAAATTAATCTGATGCTTGCTAGTGACTTGCTACAGGATGGAGATTCCTGGAGTTCTAGTGAGAAGTCGTGACCAGTGAGGTCCAATTAGATGTCACGTGTATGGATGGATGTCCCACCAACGACAATGGTTGGGATCGCGCTAAATCACGAATTGGTAGAAGTTAGAATTCATGCACTGACTGGTCATTGAATCGGGTTTCAGTGGCTGAATGTTATACGAGCCAGCTTGTCTTGTAACCGGAAGGCCCTGGGTTGGAACCCTGGAGGTGGGTGCGTGCTTCTGATGATTCCGAAACTAGGATGAAACAGCAGCTGGCCAGTACTCCCTGGTGGGTTTTCAATGCTTCTCTAACTGATATCAATCCGTGATCAACTGATAAAAACATAACTAACCTTTACAAACCAAACTATAGAAGGGGAAATTTACTCGCCTGTAACAGTGGCTGGCGATTGAGCTAAATATATTTCACGAATTGGAGGGAGTTGGAATTCATAGACCGTTGTGTCGGCTCCTAGTGACTGAATCGTCTTTGAGCTTGCCTTGTAAACAAAAGGTCTTTGGTTCGAACCTTGGTGGGCGAGTACAGTAGAAGAGTCCTAGTGTAGGACAAGACAATTGTCCAGCTCATCATCAATCCTGTAATATCAGATAGTTACATAAAATTATTGTTTTAATTTTAAGTTTTCTGTTCCTTAATTTAGAACAAAATGGAAACGTCAAACAGCAGTTGGTCTTGAATTGATGGCTGAAGCGGGAAATTTTGTCGCTGTCCAACGTCTTGTTGAACAAAGTCCATTTTGGGCATATCATCCAACGGTTAGATATATTTTATCTAATATTGATTTTATGCATTCATCTTCACTGACATCTTCGACATTGAAGACGACAACAACTACAATACCAGCGCCAACGCCACTGCCATCAGATACAGTGACACCGGCAACAACACCAACAATACCAGCAATAATCGCACCAATGTCTACGGTGACAGAGACAGTTTGCCAGGGTTTGAATTCTTCTCTTTCCAAATTACCAATACCAGCACCATCGGAGATGTTAGTACCAAGGACAACAACAACAACAATGCCAGAAATATTGAAGCGTTTCAACACTGGTGATCATTATCAACAGATGCAATATTCTTGTTATATGACGCTGGACAAACACAGTAAAGTTCCTGAGAAGTTAACCCCATCAATGACAACGATAACAACATCAGTATCAAATTATATACAAGAGAGATTAGGTATTAGATCATTGTCAAGTGGTACTAGTCTCACTTCTACAACTACTGCTTCTAACATAGTCTCTTCTCTCGGATTAACCTCATCCACCAATTCGAAAACGATTGTTTTAGGACAATCAGATATCAGGCGACAATTATTACATCCATCTAGAGTTTCATGGTCATCTAATCATCCTGATTATTATTATTATTATCCCCATCATCAGTGTCAGTCTCGTGGATCAGATCACAAGACAGTTAATATTCATGATCCTTTATTGTCGATTAAATCTTTGGAACAGTCATTTCCTGGAGATCAGTCACATTTACAACGAACTCAGTCGTCGATTTTGTCATCACCGTCATCGTCATCGGCATCCTTCTCATCTTCTTCGTCTTCGAAGTCATCAGTGGCGTCATCGGCGCCTGTAGTAGTGGTGGTAGACAGAGCAGCATCAAATTCATCTGCTTCGACTTCTGTTATCTCACCAACAGATGATAGCGGTACACACGAGATCTGATAACTTGAAATAGTTCCGCACACACACTCTCTCTCTCTTTCGATTCGACTATTTATTCATCTCTGCTTTCAGTTTTCCTGTGTGTGTGTGTGTGCCTGTGATCGTGATCTAAAATACACTATTAGAAACATTTTTAATCAATTTTGGTTTTGTAAATAAGTAAAGTAGAGAAAATAAAATTACTATTGCTATTATCATTCCTTGTTCTCTTCAGTCCTATTTAGCCGACTCCACGTTTGTCACTGTCTTCCTGAAAGTGAAGCACAACATGCTGTTATCCATTCGAGTCCTACTGTAACAACAGAAGACAAGAGTCAGACAACAGATCGTTTATTAAGGAAATCAACACGTATTTATATATAGCTTATTCAAGCAAACAAACACAGTCTTCTGATTGGTTGTTTCTCACAGAATGTTAACCTTGCCTCTCTTTGTGGCTGTTTCTTGAATGTCAGATCAGCTATATGTTAACTGTATCCGCCTACGCAAAGTCTGCTGTGGTTGTTTGTTGAATCAGTCTTTGTTCATATTTTCTCACGACCAATATTTGCGACGTACACATTGACGTAAATTAATGTCTACCAATTTGGCTAGCAGCCTGCTCTCACCACACTACTGAAGGGTTCAGCTGGCGTGTGACTCATCTCAACGGCTCTCCTCAGCGTATATCCAATCCGTATCCATTTCACTCCGCAAATTTTTTATGCAGTAGGTTCGGTGTTGGTTCGTTGAGATATGGTTCCTTGTTGCGGATCTTATCCATTAGGTCAGTTGATATTCATTGTGGAACGAAGGGGGTGGGTGGGTGTAATTGGAAGTCTTTAATAGCCTGTTGAAAATGTTTCTTATGATACACCCGACAAATCTCTGAAGCATATAGAAGCAATGACTTGTTTGACATTAGTGCTGAATATTTTTTAAATTTTGTTCCTCATGCCTACGGCAGTAGATTCCTACACTGATCGTGGCCGACTTTGACATTCTCATCTGTGCCGCCTGTAGTTGAAACGATTCTGGAAGTGGTAACTTCTTTTATATTCCTCCCCCTTTGTAGTGATTGGCTCTTGTTGTTTGCTCATCTTTATATTTTGATTTGGTCGTTTGAAGAATAATTCTGGATGGTATTGGGTGGTTGATTGTGAAGACTAGCGATAGAATAAACAATGTTATATTTCTGTCGTAGACCATTATTGGTCTAATTCCAGTTCTTCATGACTTTTTCTCATTTCTTTGCTCTCTGAATGAAACACAGGGATTCAAGCTTCAGCTCCGAATTTCCTGTAACACATATCCATCAGTTAATTGGAATACAAGTTATATTGTTCAATGGTTGGAGGTAATCGATAAGAACTCTTGGTTTTTTAGGTTTCATGCCCACAGACACTCATCAGCGAAGCGTACCTGCAATATCAAAGTAATTCACATCCCTAATACTCAGCAAATATGCAAAAGGAAATGGGAGATAGGTGGATTAGATGCATGATTCAGAGAAATTCGGTTGAATTTACATATCGAACCCTTAAGTCGAACCCTAATAGGTAGTGAGATACGAGTCGGGCATGGAAGATTGCAGATACGCCTTGGTGATGAATGCATACATGGATGAAGCCTAGACCCAAATCTCTCTCCATCTATCGGTCAAATCCACCCATATCTAAGAGTTATTAGGAGGACATGTTTATGGTAAGCCATCTAGTATGGTTGCCATATTACATGCTGGACTGCTGGAATTCAGCCTAAACCAAACAATCGACTGGAAGCATAACGAAAATCACAGGTGTTTTTTTTTAAAGGGATATACAGTAATCTCAATATCGATTTTTGTCATCAGCGAGTAACAGTTAGAGATTACTGAAAACTGGTGTTATTTCTTGACTAAAACTATACTAAGACACTTATTCTTAATTAGGCGATGATATCACGATATTTGTGTGTAGAATGATGGCTAACCACGCTTGTGGTCAGGGGTTCAATTCCCATACAACGGACGCACTCTTTAACCTCACTAAGCCAGTAATTAGACTGGTAAAGAGGGAAGGTTGGGCATGAGGCGGCTAGCAATCACTGCTACCGAAGATTCAAGCCTCTATGTGTGAAGCCCTCACTATGTTCCACAGGGAACGTAAAGACATAAGAAGAAAACACGACATTTATCCGTGGTCGAACATAAGAAAAATACAATCCCTACGATTAGATTCTTGAAAATTAATCTGATATTCACTAGTGACTGGTTACAGAGGAAACTTGCCTGGAGTTCTCGTTAGAAGTCGTGACCACAGTGGGGTCCCGCAAGTTGGGAGTGAGATTAGAGTTCCCTCCGAGGATACTAGGGTTGGTAGAGGTTAGAATTTATGAACCACTGAATTGTGTCCTGGTGGCTGAATGTGGTCTACGAGCTCGCTCGCCTTGTAATCAGGAGTTTCTAGGTTAGAAACCTAGCTATGGATGCGTACTGCCGATGAGTCCCACACTAGGCTGACTGAACAGCTGGTTGTCCAGTACTTCTCGCTTACTTTCAATGGCTCTCTACATTGATATGAATCTGTGGTCTCAGCTGAACTAATTCTTGAAGAAGAAATAACGTGTAATACCGTGTACTGCCTTCAAAAATAGTGTTAAAAAAATGAGAAAAATGTGTGTGTGTGTGTGTGTGTGGGTGGGTGGAAAGACAACGCGGTAACTCATTCCTCTACTGACACATATGCTCAAAGAAGCAGACGAAGAAGCGCGAAATCAATAATCAAAATTATTGTAGAAAGGAGCAATACATTACAAAGTGCGAGACAGTGCATCGGGTAAATTATCATATACATAAGCACAACTCTTCTTGTGATGTATACACCACAATTGATTGACAACAAGAACAATTTACAATCCCAACATTGATAATACCGCAAGATTTATCATTATTTATCAATCATATGAAGTTTATACCTCCCATATGAATTAAAATGATTGTCGCTCAAATGGAATAAGTGTCGGCGACGGTGGGGGGAAGAGAGGGCTCATTAAACCAATACAAACATACACATTCATTTACAAACGTGTGTATGTTAAGAGTTTTAAAGAGAATATATATACATATATATACTCCTTTGTAAAATGTCAATCAATATTCTACAAATTTAAATGCATTAATGAGTATATTAATTACATTCTAAATTAAATTAACTGTTTAATATGTTATTTGTGTGGGAGGATGTGAAGGAGATTTAGTTAGGTGAATGCAATTGATATGGACAACAGTGAAGGATAGACACACCAAAGTCAAACGACCTTGAAACAACCAATCATATTGATCAGAATTACAAAATACTCCTACAGTTCCCTTACTCCTACAATTCGTTAACTCTTGCATTCTGCCTGTTATTCTCTATTGTTCCCCCTTAGTTTTCTCTGGGCTACTGAATAAGGACTATACCTTATTACGCAGGATGTTAAAGGTTGTCAGCAGGGTAAGCTACGTGCCACTTAACCAGCTTCTTAATATTCTGGTCGGCAGGCACTTGGACTTATGTGTAAGATGGGCTAAATCCATTCTGTCTAACTCTCACCACCACCCTCTTCATTCACAACTCTCCCCTTGTATCTCATCAGGGAGAGCCAGAAGCCTACATAGAAAACTATATGCTCGCACTAGCAAGTACTAAAACTCAACCATACCCTCCCTACTTAGCTCGTGTTCTGTGCGATAAAGAAAGCATTAGGTGTGATACCTATAACTTATTAAATAGTCAGTAGAACAACTGGATCACGTCTTTCCAACCCATATCATTTATAAGTACAACATTTTCTTTCTTTCTTTTCCTTTTCTCTCTCTCTTTTTTCTTCTGTTATGTTCAGCTTTGTTTCTTTCTTCTGCTTACGCCAGTAAATATGCTAGAACCTACTTTTCTAGCACTTTCAAACACTCTGTTGAATTTTGGCTTTGCTACCGATATGCCAGTATGTTGTTGTCAAAACTAACTGAGATTACCCTTAATCTATGTAGAATTTTATTTTATTGTTAATGTACAAACTGGATGCAATATACTGCGGTGAAATGCTGAGAACTCCATTCTGTATCACAGGTACTGTTTTAGAATATAGCAAATTATTATTATTATTATTAAAAAAATTAAAACAATTAGTCCCTTTGATAAATCTGAATACGGCATTTAGAAAACAAATTTCGCCAGATGATATTGTCATTTCGTAGTTTCTTTACAACCACTTTACAACTAACATGGTTAATTTTCTATAGTTTGGTTTGTAAGGGTTAGTTATGTTTTTACGAGTTGATCATGGATTGATATCAGTTAGAGAACCATTAAAAACCCACCAGGGAGTACTGGACAGCTGCTGTTTCATCCTAGTTTGGGAATCATCGGCAGTACGCACCCACTGGTTGGGGTCGCGCTAAATCATGAATTGGTGGAAGTTAGAATTCATGAGCCATAGAATAGGGTCCCAGTGGCTGAATGGTTTACGAGCTAGCTTGCCTTGTAACCGGAAGGTCCTGGGTTCGAATCCCAGTGGGTGCGTACTGCCGATGATTCCCTTACTAGGATGAAACAGCAGCTGTCCAGTACTCCCTGGTTTCCAATGGTTCTCTCTCTGATATCAATCCGTGATCAACTCGTAAAAACATAACATGGTTAACAATAATAAAATAAAGATCATGACAATTACTCAGTTAAATGAAAAACAAAAGTACATACTAATGACGAATCATAATTAAATAGGTCATGTAGTCCATGGTAGGCAAAGGAAGTTTGAAGTCTATTGTTTTTTGTACACACAGTTTAAGCTGTATGTGATTAATCCCCAAAGTGCTTCCATCACTTTTAACAACCAAACTTGAATTAGGGTTATGTGATAAAATAATTGTAAAATAGTCATTAATATTGATTTTGTGACCTGACATTAATAAGTGTTTTGCAATGGATGATGCTAGATTTCTATTCAGATTAATTCCACCCAAACTGGAATGAAACACCTGTTGAATACTCCCGGGTGATTTTCCAATGTTTCTCTAACCGATGTCAGCTCATGATGAAATCTTCCAACCAATCAAACAAAATTCCTACAAAGAACCAATACTTAATCAATGTAGTTTGACTTTGG